AGGCTGAGCAAATTCCAAATAGGACAAATGCAAAGAGACATACTGTAAGACACATATAAATATTTGAAAACTAAAGGGAAAAGATTTCTTCAAAGCAACAAACACCTTAACTATAGGGAAAATGATATGAATGTTAGTGGATCTCAAAAAAAGAGATGAAAATATACAACTTAGTATTGTCCAAAGTGCTGAAAGAAAGGATCTTTCAACTCAGAAATCTGTATCCAGTGAAAATATCCTTCAAGAATGAAGTATTTATCAAGCAAGGTAATTCACCTCATTAGCAGCTGGAGAAGAAAAATCATGTTATCATAGCAATTAATGCAGCAAAAGCACTTAATGAAATGCAACACTCATTCAAGATAAAAAAAAAATGATCAGAAATACAGGAATAGAGACACTATCAACTCAATGATTATCATCTACAAACAAGCCTAAGGCTGACATTATACAAAATGGTTGTTTCACTCTTTGTGCTACTGCATCAGAATACCAGGGGCTGGGTAATTTACAAAGAAGAGAAATATACTTTCTCATATTTCTGAGTACTAAGAAATCCAAGAGAAGCCACTGGCAGATTCAGTTGTCCAGTGAAGGATGACATCTGCTTTTAAGATGGTTCCTCCAACACTGGGTCCTCATGTGGCAGGAGTCATAGGACAAGAAAACATGACCTCCCTTTCCCAAGTCCTTTTAGAAGGACACCTGATCCCTTTCAAGGAGAGGAACTCTAATGACCTAATCATCTAAGTACCCCACCTCTTAATATTATCCCATTGACAATATCTGAATTTTAGAGGGACCACATTGAAACCATAGCAATGGGGAAGTACTTAATGCTTTCTTTCTAAGATTGTGAACAAGGCAAAGATGTTTACACTCAACAGTTTTAGTACTGGAAACTCTAGATATACAGGATGACTGAGAACAGCGTCAACACTGCTCTCCATGGCTCCGGTCTTCGCAGCACATTGAAATTATCCCAAAAAGCATCCTTGATGACTGACTTTCCTGTACATCCTTATCCAATCCAACCAGAAACTCTGTTGCTCTGCCTTCAGTACGGGTCCAAAATACAACCACCTCCCTACCTCCACCGTTATGTTCAAACTATTTCTTGCTTGGACTGAAACAATGGATTCCTCAGAGCTCTCCTGCTTTAGGGATATTGTTGGATAGTTTTGTGTCTTGCATCAAGGACCTCAAAAATGTATCATCAAGGGCTTGCTGTTCTCATCTTGGTATAAACCGTAGACCATGACACTGCCTTGGACAGTGTCCAGCCAGTCCAGCAGCCCTGTGCTGACTAAACCTTCATCTTCTTTCTATGCAGCAAACACCATATAGTTGTTATTCCACACAAGTGCCTTGTTCCTGCTGCCCAAGAAGTGGGAAAGATTATTCATTTAGCTCTAAATGCAATTTATTTTCTGAACTTGTTTCAGTTGGATTCTCTCATGCTTTATACCCCATAATAAGTTTATATTCTGTTCTACTTGAATCAACAAAACCTCTAGGGGGTCTCTAGCAAGGTACAGAGAGTGATGATTAGCAACTCAAAATGGAAAGTTGTTTAAGACTTCCAGAAAGAGTTCAGCCTCACGGAGCAATATGTAACTTTGAGGAAGGAATCTGGAGTAGCTGCAGGAAGAACCAGAGGTTGGAGAGATGGTCTGGACACCTCTACCCACCTGCAAACCACTCCTGTGCTGGTGTCAAAGCTTCCATCATGCCCCAAATCCCTTAGGTGTTCTCACAGGGCAGATAAGGTGTTTTCTACCTTCTTTTCACCCTTCCTCCCTGCTTGATGGCAAGCTGACCTCATTCCCCTTCCTTTATGCATCACTACTTCCAAAACCCAGGCACACTGGGCTCTTATGGTTGAAAATAAAAAGATTATACAAGATGAGTTAATGGCTGTAATCCCAACACTCTGGGAGGCTGAGGCAGGAGGACTGCCTGTTCAAGCACTATCTAGCAAACTTAATGAGACCCTGTCTGGAAGTAAAAACAAAGGTCTGAGGATATAGAAAAAAAAAAAAAAAAGATGAGCCAATGGCTGATGGTAGAGGCTTGTTAAAACAAAAACAAAGCCTGAAAGTACCCCATATATGTCCTTAATCAGAGAAAGTAAGTAAGCTGAAGTCTCACCGACAGTAAGTGCTAAACCCAGAAAGAGGGTCTCCTGAATGTAAGTGCTGTGACCACCACCACCCCGAACTGAACTCCATCATAACTGCTCCCTGTTTCATTTCTTCCGTTTTCCTCCCTCTCTTTTTGTCCTTTTCTTCTGGCAGCCTTTTCCAACTTAACATCTGATCTTTAGATTTTGAGAAAACAATTAGCAAGTACATTTTCTCTGTGGTTGCTTCTAAGAATTTCTTTCTACGTTTGGTGTTCTACAATTTCAATCCAGGGTGTCCAAGTGCAAAGTTACTCTTATCTTCAATTTAAGGATTCATCTCTTTCATCATTAGGGACAATTATCAATCAGTATATTTAAGACTTTTCTTCTGTTCTCTTGAAGCTGCCCAGACATTCTCCTTATGTCTTCCATGTCCCAGTCCCTCTCTCCCGCTGTCTAGCTCTTTCTCTATGATGACTGATTTTTGTAATTTCTTATCTTGCTTTTATAATTCTTATTCATTTCTTCATCTTGTTGGTATTTTTGTTGTTTTTTTGAGACAGGGTCTTGTCATATACTGCAGGCTGGCCTTGAACTCAGGGCAATCCTCCTGCCTCAGCCTTCCAAGTGTTTGGATTATAGATGTGGCATGTGTCACCACACCAGGCTTGTTGGTACTTTCTAATGTGCGGAATCTGAAGCATCTCTCAGAATGCTTTATCATTTCCCTTCTGGGAAGGCTAACATTCCTGATTGTGGTGACTTGCAGTTTTCTTTTGTGGTGCATTACTTCCTTGTGCTGGATCTACATTTTTATCAGCAGCTCATATTCAGTGATCAGAACCCAGGATGCCTGTGCCATGAAAACACTCCTAAAAAGGGTTGCACAGTGCCTTCTTCAGAGGAAAAGATGAGTTAAACCAGAACTTACCTCTAAGTTAATTTATGTACTTCCTTCATGTAAGGCTGGGCTTCTGCACTTGTTGCAGTATCTCTGCAGTGTCTCTCAGCAGTTTTTTTCTTTCCAACCTGAGCTCTGGGCAAGGAGAACCTTGCATTTCACTTCTCTAAGGCAGAGGGCAGATCCTTCTACTCATGCCATCACTGGAGAAGACACTCATACCAGCCCCATAGCCTGCAGACCTCGACCATGCTGACAGCAAACATGAGGGACGCTGCCCACCTCCACCATCTCCACATAGTTTACTGTGCTTACTTCGTCATTCTCTCCCTCCCTCTCACCGGCCTTCTCTTTATTTATGTATAACTGTTACATTGCAGTATTTTGATCCCACAGGTTTTGCTTTTGCTTTTGTTGTAAGAAAAGAACCACAATAAGCATTAATGTCATCTCCCATGTTCAGAAGCCCAAAGCTCTGTGGCTGGGGCAGGTAATTAGGAGAACAAATAGGAAATGTGATTTAAAAAATAGGGAGAATATTTAAATTTTAAAGAACTTATTATAATAAAAAATACATTATCATTCATCTTCTCAAAATAATACTCCTCACTTCAAATACACTTAACCCCTGACCCTTACCACTGTCTGAAGCAGTTCAGGAAATCTTCTTTCAGGAGTGTCTTTCTGAGGTATGATAAAAAAAATATGGTGGATACTGCTGCTGAATGGTAAGCAATAGAAAGACAGGCTCATGAAAACATTACAGTGTGTCCTCGTGTACCTTATTCAGTGGGTCTGGCACTGTGCAACTTCTGGCTCTTTGCCAAAGTCAAAATGACAATGAATGATAAACACTTTGAATTGATCAGGACATCAAGACAGCCTCAACAGTGCAATTAAAACACACAGAAGAGAACTCCCAGAACTGCTTCAGAAAAATCGCAGGAATCACAGAATAAGTGTATTTGGAGTGAGGCAGAATATTTTGAGGGGAGACTAATGGCAATATGTCTTTCACTGTAATATTGTTTTTGGTTTAAACATTCACCATAGTGCTCGCTTCGGCAGCACATATATTAAACATTCACCATATATTTCAATCACACCTCGTATGTCGAGGACCAGGATTTAAGTTCAGCGCTTTAAATTTCAGATTCATTTGGTATTTAAAATAATAGAAATGTATTATGTATGTATTATGAGCCTTGTTTTTATAAAAGAGACAGCTGAGGCTTAACAACAAAGACTCCCTTAAGCTCACATAGTTATGCAGCCCATATAACTACGACAGCAGGATATTAAACCACATCCTTCTCTTCAAAACACACAGGCTGCGTCTCCTCAGGACAACACACCACACCCGCTATCTGACAGCTGCTGCGCTCCTGGTATCATAAGAGAGGAATGTAAATAAATTAGAATGGCTGTGCTTTTTCTATGAACAAGCCATTAGGCAAGTCACACCTGTCTGAGGTTCATTTGTAGATACATTCTAGCTCCTTTCTGAGTTTTATACCTGTCTCTTGTGGCAATTAACAGACTCAGGTGAATTTCCTGTGACTCACCTCAAAATGCCATATGCTCGCAATGGTTCATATATAGGAAAGCAGCTGACACCTCAAGAAAAGCATAAGCAAATGCTAAGTATACAACACCTCTGGGCACATAGGCTGAAGATTTATTGTCTCTTATGTGCTTCCATCACTTCTTAAAATAAGCAAAACTGAACTAATTCTCAGTGACATTTGCATTCAGACTACTATTTCTGCATCCTAAGAATAAACATCATTGTCAGAGAATAATAATGACTCCAAGGTGTTGTACCCTTCAACATCCAGAGGAAAGGATAACATGTCTACCTACCACATGATAAGAGCAAGACCATTACTTAGCATTTCGAATCTTACAAATTCTTGTCTCCAATGCCATGACACAAAGAGTTTGTGATCTTAAGCCTTCTTTTATTCCTGACAGAGAGAAGAACATTGGCCAGTCCATCCAATCAGTCAGTCCAAATCCAGCAAGTTTGAGTGTAGAAGATTCTGGAGAAAACTGGAAGAAACTAAGAAGCTTCTAGGAAATGAATCATTCCTGCAAGGTACCATTCTTTCCTAGATTTAAGTCTATACAGTGTTAATGATGAGGAAGCAAGACAGCAACCAAACCAGATAAACCAATAGCATCTGCTCCCTGTCCTCCTTCCACACACATGCTGCAACTCCTATGAAGTCAGTGCAACCTATCAGGAAAAGAAGAGTTGACATTTCCACGGAATTCCAGTGTGTTGCCCAGTGAAAACAAACCAAGAGAAGTTAAGAAAAGGAACATTAGCCGATCCTGCTCATCTTGCCAGGAGGCTGGGAGATGTCTGCAGGGATGGAGAATGGGCAGTAGGAATGGCCAACTTAGTGACATAGCAGCCCCAGTCTGGCGGCACAGATGAGAACTCCCCAGTTGTGAAACTGATTCCCCAACACGTAGGGTAACAAATTATGGGAAAGGAGAAGCTGTGCCAAGCATGCATTCTTCTCTAATTCAAGTCCTGATTGCACTCACAAGCTCCCAAAAGAACCGATTATCCACCTCCAGGCTCTTTACCATATGCTCTCTGGACTACCGAGGTCACCCACCTAAGAGTAATTCATTTGCCTCCCCCTGCAAACTTGCTCCTTCTTATGAATTAAGAGATTCAAAAAATAGTACCACCCTCCACCTATCACCCATGTTATCTGCAAACATTCCTCTTTTCTTGCTCGAGCACGTCTCATTTCTTCCTCTCTATGTTAATGTATACTCATTATTTGTTGTTTACACTATGACAAAAATCACATCGTGATTTCTTTGCCTCCTTTTAGCCATCCAGCACTGTAACGTACCCTGCATTGATGGGAAGGTAAGATTATTAAAACCCTAATTTTCAATAACATTTTTAAAAATTATTTGTATTATTTTGTCTTGAGACCCTGTATCACTTTGAATGTTCTTGCTTTGATTTGTTTATGTTTGTGATACTGGTATGCTGCTACTGTTCTATTTCTTTGTGTGTTTCTCATTTACTACTGTCTTTAAAATAAATAAAAAATAAAAAAAATCACAAATCCTTCACAGGTTATCCACTGACTATAGGGTAAAATCAAAACAACTACTTAGCCTGGTCTACAATGCCTTCAACATCTGTCCTCTGCCCACATCTCCAGTGTCCTTTACTACTAATCTCTGTCATTCATTTCAGTCACCTCAGATTTCTTTTCTTTCTTGGAACAACCACATTCATCCCTGCATTGAGACTTTCCTCCCCTGCTAGTCACTATGCCCTGTAATCTTCACACCCTCTTCTCCCGCACTGCACTCCATTTCACCCCTTCTCCAATGGCAAATTCTACTTGTTGGGGTGTTCCCATAAATGTTATCTTTTCAAAGAAGACATCTTAGAATGACTGTTGCCATCACCTCACCTATTCTTCATCACTAAAACCTACTTCTTTATAGCTATTGTCATATTAGGTATCCACTGACTGAATTGTTTACTTCTTGGGTGACTGTACACCTGTAGTCTGAATGTGCCTTAAAAGACAAAAATCCAGAAACTACACACACATACATGCACATGCACGCACATACACACACACATACATACACACACACACACGCATGCACCTACCCAATATAGTCACCCATCACCTAGTAAATGTCAATACAAATTGCATTTATGAGTGGGTTCATAATGTATGAATTAATGATTGTAGTCTGTGAGATATTCACAGCTACCTCACACTAGTGGACTTCTTTTTTAAGAGAATTAAAAAATAATTTTAAAAAAATTAGAAACAATACAGAATTTCACTAAACAAGATGATAAGAATTGAACAATGGTTGCTATATTGCACATTGTTGTCTTCAAATTAGTTGTTCAGATTATCAGATATAAGCAAGCAAAATTTGTCAAAAAATTAAAAAGAAGAAAAAAATTTAACCATTAACTGTTCCTTTCAGTAGACCAGCAGAAACCAACAGTATAATTATTCCAGCTATCCTATATACATTTGTTTTTCCCTCCCTTCTTTCTTTCTTTTCCCCTTTCCCTCATCCCAGTTGTTCCTCCCCTTTGAGCAGTTTCTTTGCTCACTCAGCTCTCTCACCCTATGAAGGACCTCTGTCCCTGTGACCACAGTGGGGAACACCCACACAACTCCTATGCCATATGGCCAGCACCATTAGCCCTTTCAAGTCCTGCCTGATTTCTTCCCTTCATCCCCAGGTGTAGCTTTCACTTCCAACTTTATGCCTCACCTCCAACATGCATATATTTCCACCATAGTGTTTACTATGCTTCAATGCACTACTGTGCATTTCTTCTTCAGAAAACTCATTAATTTTTAAGGAAGGGAACTGTATCTTAATCATCACTGTATACCTAGCACCAAGCTAAGCACCTGACACTAAATTATTTTTGAATTAGTAAATGAATGACTTGATGAGATATGCTTATGATTTTGTTTTTCTAGCACATGAAGCAGCCTACTGCAGAAATTATCAGACAATATTTTCCGTGCACATCATAGCCATTAAACAGTGCTGGGAAGCACAACTGTGCAGCACAGAGCTTCATACCTAAGTCACATCCCTTCCAAAATGCAAGATATGTCAGATTTCCCAGGAAAAAGGAGAGAGATAAGTAATGAGGCCACTGACTTTGTGACATACTGTGTGAAACTGACCACCAATAACCCATGACTTTAGTACGTGTAAAGTAAATAGTTTCAGAGGCCGTATTTCTGATGTTGAATATAAAGACTGCCCAGCAAGAAGGAGACTGAAGAGTTGGTCACTGAATGATCAGTTCTATTTGGATATGAGGACTGTCACAACAAAACCCAAAGACCTGAACACATTCAGCACAAAGGTCCACACAGGGTTTTGCACTGGCAGCTAACTTCTGGCACCTTGCCTCTATGTAGATTATCTTAAGCATCATCTGTCAATCAAATGATTATTTCTCCTGACAGCGGGTAGAATTTTAACCTATCATTCTTTACGTAACTATGGACAACATTAAAGTTCATACATCCACCTTAGAATGAAGTGAGTTGATTTGATTTTTTCCAAGCATGACACCTACCTGACATGCTTTACATCAGTTTCTAATGTTATTCAGGTATTTGCATAAATATTGAAAAGACAAGCACTTTACTGTTTCTAATACTCTTTGTTATATAACCCTTTACTGAGTCTCACGGCCACACTGAGAATAAAGCATGAAAAATATTCTTCAATGTCTTCTGTTTCTGGCAACTTGATAGATGGAACACCCTCACTCAACCTTCCCCACAGAAGCAACTGAAACAACCAATAAAACCCAAGGCATTACCAAGAAAGCCTTAGAAAGAAAATGTTCTGTGCTCCAAAGCAAGTTAAAAGTAGTAAACTTTGAGAGTAAATTGAATTTGATGTTGGTCCTGAGAGTTTTTTGCCAACCCCTAGAGAACATAAGTTTACCTTTACAACAGCACAAGTCCAAAGAGATGAGAGGAAGAATAAAGTCCAGCCAAAGTAGGAAATTTTGTAGAAGACCATTTAAAAATTGGTACTCCAAAGGGTGATACATACATGCAGGATAGCAGTGAACCAAAACAAAAGACTTTCACAGAAAGGGACACCACAAATCTCACATGACTTGACTCTTGCACTGCTCTTGGAAAGTGTCCATGTGCAGCCATTTTCACAATGTGGGTTCTTCCTATCCATGAGCAAGGAATATCTTTCCATCACCTGATATCCTCTTTGATCTCTTCTTTTCAAGGTACTGTAATTTTCACTGTGGAGATCTTTTACTTCCTTTGTTAGATTGATTCCTAATAATTTCATTTTTTTGGATGCTGTTGTGAAGGGAGTGGATTCCCTAATTACTCTCTCAGTGAGTTTGTTGTTTGTGTAGAGGAATGCTATTGATTTTTGAGTGTTGACTTTGTATCCAGCTTTGCTACTGAATTTGTTTATTAAAACTAGAAGTCTTTTGGTGGAGTTTTTGGGGTCTTCTATGTAAAGTATCCTGTCATCAGTGAATAATAATAACTGAACTTCTTTCTTTCCTACCCTTATTCCTTTTATTTCTCTCTCTTGTCTAATTGCTCTGGCTGATGCTTCCAGAACTATATTGAAAAGGAGTGATGATAGTGGACATCCTGGTCTTGTTCCTGATTTTAGAGTAAAAGCTTTCAGTTTTGTCCATTTAGTATCAGGTTGGCTATTGGTTTTTCATAGTTGGTTTATCAGACTGAGGTAAAGACCATCTATTCCAATTTTTCTATAGGATTTTTTTTGTTTGTTGTTTTTGTTTTTTTTTTTAGTACTAGGAATCAAACTCATGACCTCATGCTTGCCAGGCAGGCACTGTGCCGCTGAGCTAAATCCCCAGCCCTCTGTAGGATTTTTTTATCATGAATGAGTGTTGGACTTTATCAAAAGCTTTTTCTGCATCTATTGAGATGATCATGTGATTTTTGTCTTTGGCTCTGTTGATATGGTGTTATGACATTTATTGATTTGCATATGTTGAACCATCCCCACATCACTGGGATGAATCCAGTTATGGTGTATAATATTCTTGATGATTTCCTGCATTCTGTTTGCTAGTATTTTATTGAGGATTTTTGCATCTATGTTTACTAGGGAGATTGACCTATAGTTCTTTTTTTTTTTTTTTTTTTTGGTTGAGTCTTTCTCTGGTTTTGGTATCAGGCTAATACTAGCTTCCAGGAATGAGTTAAGAAGAATTCCTTCCCTTTCTATTTCGTTAAAGGGTTTGAGGAGTATTGCATTAAATTTCTTGTAGAATTCAGCCTTGAACCCATCAGGACCTGGGCTTTTCTTTGTTGGTAAATTTTTAATAACATTTTTAATTTAGTAACTGAGATTGGCTTATTCAGAATTTTTATATCTTCTTGATTCAGTTTAGGCATTTCATGTTTCTAGGACGCTGTCCATTTCTTCTGTGTGTTCCATCCTATAAGAGTAAAGATTTTTGAAGTAGATACTGATGACCTGAATTCCACTGGATTAGTAGTGATTTCACCCTTTTCATACCTTATTGCATGATTTTGAGTTTTTTCTTTCCTTTTTTTTTTATAAAGTTGGCTAGGGTTTTATCAATTTTATTTATTCTTTCAAAGAACCAACTCCTCAATTCATTAATTTTTCTATTGTTTTCTTAGTCTCAATTTTGTTAATTTCTGCTCTGATCTTTAGAATTTCCTTCCTTGTATGGGCTTTGGGCTTAACTTCTCTTCTTTTTCTAGAAGCTTGAGGTGCAGCGGTAGGTTGTTTATTTGTGTTCATTCTGCTTTCCTGATGTGAAATTCACCACTATAAATTTCCCTCTGAGGACTGCTTTCATTATATTCCACAGGTTTGGGTTGGGCAACTAAGATGAATATACAATTCTCAGATGAAGAAATACAAAGGGCAAATAAATATATGAAAAAATGTTCAACATCATTGGTCATTTCAGAAATGCAAATGAAAGCAACATTGAGATTCCGTCTCACTCCAGATAGAATGGCTATCATCAAGAAGTCAAACAACAACAAATGCTGGTGAGGCTGTGGGGAAAAAGGGATCCTTCTCCACAATTGGTGGGAGTGTAGACTGGAGCAACCACTGTGGAAATCAGTGTGGAGATTCCCCCCAAAACAAGGATTAGAGGTCCCATTCAACCCAGCTATTCTCCTTGTGGATATTTTTCCAGAAGAATTAAAAATATCATACCACAATGATATATATGTACCCATGTTTTTAGCAGCACAATTTTTCATAGCTAAATCTTGGAAACAACCCAAATGCCCATCAACTAAAGAATAGATTTTAAAAATGTGGTATTTTTAAACAATAAAAAAGATGTGGTATTTCTATACAATGGAGTACTACTCAGCTATAAAGAAGGATAAACTCAAGGCTTTTAATGGTAAATGGATGCAACTAGAGGCCATATTCATAAGTGAAATAAATGAGACTCAAATGTGTGAACATTGTATTGTCTCCATAGTATAAAAAACTGAAAAGTAAATAAAGATACAAAAGGTACAGTAGATATTGTGAAAGGTAGAGAAACTGTTCAAAAGGAAAGAACAAGTGGAACGGGGGAAAGGAGAAAAGAAGGAAGGGAAAAGAAATATATATATATATATATATATATATATATATATATATATATATATATGAATGATACCTGAGAGAGTTATACTATTAATTTCTTTTAGTTCATTGAAGCGAATGGTTTGAATATCTTATTTTTTAAAAATTGGTAAAAGATGCATCTCAATTAATCCCCCCAAAATACTCTGCTTTATTTCACACACACACACACACACACATTTATCCCATCATCTCAACCATTGTCTGAAGCAGTTCTGGAAGTCCTCTTCCATAAGTGTCTTTGTGATGTATGATCAAAAGTCCAGTGAATGCTGCTGCTGAGTTTCTGATGGAAAGACAAGCTAGTGAAAATGTTACAGCATGCCCTCATCCACCTCATTCACCAGATTTAGCCCTGTGCAACTTCTAGCTCTTTTCCAAAGTCAAGATGGCCACCAAATGTAAACATTTTTAATTGATTCAGAACACCAAGGCAGCCACAAGAGACAACTAAACACACACCGAAGAGGACTTACAGAAAGTACCAAGAATGATGGGATGATTGTGTTTGAAGAGAGGGGGAGTATTGTAAGGGGAATTAAAGGCGATGTGTCTTTTACTATAATAATTTTTAGAAAATTTCAACACATATCATCTCTTCCAATTATACCTTATAGACTCTCAAAGATACACACTACTAAAATTGACATACCACATAAATATTGGCATCTCAAAGATTAAAATAGAAATATTAATATCAGGCAAAGTACCTTTTAAGAGATGTGACATGAAGAAGATCACTGCAAAATGACCAGTATTTTAATTAATCAAGATACCTAATAATTCTACATGTAAATGCTCCTAACAACAGTTTAGACATAAGCAAATTTTAACTAAATAATCAAAAATTAACAACTCATTGTAACAAAGAATTTAACACAATTCTCTGAAATGTTAGATTAAGCAGTCAAGAAAAGAAGTCAATAAGGACCCCAGAGATCCAAACAGCACAAGTTCACGTTTGGTCTGAAACATACGTGGAGAACAATGCAACCAATAGTTGAAGAGCTCAGCTTCCTTTCATGCACACAAGATGTTTACAAAAATCACTCATGCATCAAGCCACAAAAACAGGCTTAACAGTATCAAAAGATGAGTAGCAAGCAGATAACATTTTTTGTTAATAATAAAGTTACTTTACAGCAGACATCAAATAGGTAAAACGTTTTGTTACAAACTTTTTTCTGAAAAATTTAAAAGAAGGTACTGAATAATTCATGGATTGAAAAGTGAACTATAATGAATATTAGGAAAAAAAGCTGTATTTAATTAAAATGAAAATAGCACAGAGAAAAGCCTTGGGCATAAAGCTAAGGGGAAATGGATTGTGTTTAATGCTTATATCAGAAGAAAGCATAATCACTGATACACTGTCATTGATATATTAGTTGTGTAACATCATTACACAAACTGAAGAAAATAACAGGTAAGTGAAATATAACAGACACATTAGCCAAGTGTGGTGTTACACACCTGTAATTCCAGCACTTGGGAGGCTGAGGCAGGAGGATTGTTGCGATTCTGAGACCAGCCTGGGTTACAAAGTGAGCTCAAGGCCAGCCTGAACTGCATAGCGAAACCGTCTCAAAAAGACAAAAAAAAAAAAAAAAAATCGGACACATTAGCTTAAATATCATACGGTTTCTCTTGTATAAGGGACCCCAAATGTAAATAAAAAGGAAAATAGAAGACAATAGGAAATAAGGAAATAGAAATTTTGTCAGTGGAAGGGGGATTAAAGATGGAGGGAGGAGAGAGAAATGAAAAAGACTTCAGATGTGTTGTGTACATGTTCCAATACCCCACAAGGAATGTGATCATTATGTACTGCAAACATGTAGCAATAAATACTAAAAATTTTTTAAAAATTAATGAAAAGAGATGAAGTCTGGGTTATTCCAGCAATTTTAAAACTTTGATTATTTAGAAACATTACAAAGGAGGAGGACAGCTTGTGAAGCTTATCTCAAAAATATGTAGGAAAACCATAAAAAATAATTAATAGAAGAGTGGAATCAGTAGCTTAAAAACTTCTTACAAGAAAGCGCAAGAACCAAAGAACTGTATAGGAAAATGCTCCCCAAAATATGAGAGAGAGCTTATTCTAACGTAGCATAA